GAAAGAAGAGTGGTTGAAAACGTTAGAGAAACAGCAGCATAAAAAAAAGTGGGAGGAGGGAGCAGACACGACGGCGGACGTTGCTGATTGCGAGGGATGTGAGAGTTGGGGGAGCGAAGAGTGTTAGCCTTCTGCCGTGAGTATTATCACAGAGTAGGCGCCCAAGCTTTCCAAACAGTTACACGCACTCCATTCCACCTCGCAGCTTTCAGATCCACCCCCCCCCCCCCCCCCCCCCCCCCTCCCCCTCACAAGACGATACCGCACGCACAACAGCCTTCAGCCGTCCTTAACCCTCTCTTAACCCTAGATTAACGAGCAGCAGCAGCAGCAGCAGCAACGGTGACTCACACGAGTGCCGCAACGAGCTCCTCCTTAGTGTTCCCCCGCAGCCCTTTTTGCCGCGCCATGGCGCGCAGAGCCGCCAAGGGCGTTGCCAGCAGCCGCTTCTCCAGGCCCTGCGCTTCGTCCGCCGGCTCTACCCCTACCGCCGCTTGGGGGGCGCTGGCGGGTTGTTGCGCGGACGCGGCGGAGGTGGGCTGTGAGGCGGACGACGAGCTCGTATCAGCGGCGCGACTGGCGGAGGAAAAAACGAGAAGGGGGAAGATGAGCGAAGGAAAGAGACACGACAGACGGGTGAATGGGACGCATTGGGGCGCTAGAGAGTAGACATAGAGGAGAAGCGCAAGAGGAGAAGCACACTGGGCAGCAGTAATTCACTCACAGCAGATCGGAGATGAGATCTGCCTTGGAGCCGCCGCCAGAGATGCCCCGTGCGCGAGCCATGGCGCGCAGTTGTGACAGAGGTAGCGCCTCCAGCTGCCGCCGCTGCTGCTGATCCGCTACTCCCGCCACTGGCGCCGACGTCGCCACCGCTGCAGCAACAAGCGCCGCTCCTCGCGGTGCCACGCGCACCGGTTGTGCCGGTGAAGGCCTGAGGGAGAGATGGTGGAAGGAATTACGGAACAAGCCAATGGCAAGCGTGAACTACATTATCTCGGACATATCGCCCGAACTGTATCGCACGTTCTGGTGTTAAGGTGGAGAACTTCAAAAGCGCATGGGAGGACGATTAGGTTAGTCGATGCAGCCTTCATCAAGGCACCGCGAACGACGGTAGCAGCGACGTACCTTAGAGCGTCTCGTCTCGCAATGCTGGAAGAGCTTATGCCAGTGACAGCTGGAGAGGCGAAGGAAAGGCCGCTGGACGCCTGAGACACATGGAAGTGACGGTAAAGGGCAGCATTTGGGTTTTAACTCGGTAAAATGGTCAGACAAGAACCGTTTAGTTGGAACGTTTAAACAGGTGGAAAGGAGGGTAAATTGTGGTATGTAATCGATCCAAACAGCAGCTCTGACACCAGCCATCTGAACTGTGACTCCGAGAAAGGATTATGGATACAAGCAAATGAGATATGCGCATCGCGACTGCAATTTTTACGTCATCGCAACCATTAACACATAAGCAAAAGCCACGAAACAAAGACCACGGAACCTCGCTGATGCGTACCGCAGCCAGTGTTGAGCACGCCATTGCGTTGTTGAGAGGGATGATCGACAAGAAGAAATCAGAAAAGGGGTGTCAGGAGTCTCCTCTAATATTGTTGACGAAGTGGTAAGAAACGTGGATGTTGAAGAACACTAGCAAGCAGATATGCTAGTTACTAAAATTAGGTCTGAAGGATCTGTTGTTGTTGCTAGACCATTCCACCTTTTCCAGTTGATGAGGGGAATAAAGTGGTGTTTATGTGGTGACGACGATGATCTCCATGCTGTGTCAGCCTGCTTCGGCAGCTGCCTTGCCTGGCTCGGAACAGCTGAGGCGAGGCGCCACGCGCCCGGTAGGTTGGGAAAATTGCGCAACCTCTCTAAAGATTAGGCTCGGGGTGAGATGCGGGAGCGGTTTCTGGATAAAAGTCCGTGACGAACCTGTGGGAAGATGAGGAGGTTGAGGTAGAACCTGTTGAGAAAACGTGCGGTGACAGACAAAGGAACAAACCTCGTTCACAACGAGGCTCGTGAAAGGCCACGTGGGTGCTTACTTGGAAACAATTGTGTGCTCCAGGCAGGCAGGGAGATGCGATTAATCGTGTTTGTGGCTGATACGGAACCATCAACAAACTGCTAGCCGGTGATGTTCCCCCCTCTATAGTCTCACCCCGTCAAGGAGAGAAAATTAACCAGTGGTGGTGATTCTCAATGTAGCACAGAGTTATTGGATGACGGCTGCCAGCTTGCGTGGATCAAGTTCACGGAGCCCACATGTCCTCGTCTTCGTCGTTCGCCTGTCCACCGTGGCAGGCGTTTTTATGGGCGGGTTTTGGAGAAAGCAACAGAACCACAGGTGCTGGTAACCACATGTGTTTAGGGTGAAGTCAGGTTATACAATTCTCATGCGTTTACAGTTCTTGTTCTGTGGTTCAGGATGGTCCAGCACGGTGAAAAGCGGTTCTCGCCTCGTAACGCTCTGCACCGTGTTGAAACAAAGTTAACCGCAGTAGGCGTACAGGAGGTTGTACAACCTGACGTCGCCCTTGCCAAAATGTGCAGATGCGGTGTACCACTATAACACGGCTTCACAACTGTATCAGCCACAAACACGATAAATCACTCACCTCCAGATCTCCATAAGGTTGGGCCGGATGATGTAATAAGATACATGACCAGGATAAGTACAGAAACTTATTACCTTCACACATAACACCCCGCTTTTCTGATATTTCTACCTTGGAATTTAATACGTCTGCTAAGGAGCGCTCAACAGTCCACCCGTAACAGTTAATCAGAACACGCTGTATGTTGGTTTGGTAGGTTGCAATTTGTTTGAGGGTTCAAGTTGGCATAGGTTACAATGGATTACCCTTCCGTAAATACACAGTATGTTGCAGAACACTACATCATTTACTTGACGGGGTAGGGCAGGTCCAGAACGTAGAGCAGGATGTATGCCCAGGCAACACCAGACAGGCCACCGAAGAAGAAGCCGCCAGCGAACGAAGCCCAGCCGTCAGCAGTCTGCACATACAAACGATCAGGGTTAAGTTATTTATCAAGTACGTTAAGGCATATTGAACATAAGGAAAGTGACTCACCTGGAGCTTGTCAGCCTCCTTCGTGCGGCCGCTGAGGGTCAGAGTGGAGCCGGTGGAGGGAGCACCCTCCTTGAACGAGGCAATGCCGTACACTGTCAGGCACATGGACAGGATGGCGACAAGAGCAGCAGCCCCGAGGGTGCCGGCGACTTGGCCAACCTCGGTGCCGCGAAGAGGACCAGTCTGCACGTGGACACGGAATTAACAGAGATTAGAGTAGAATACGAGCGCTCGCTAAAAAAAAAAGACTATGCTAACAGCAACGAGAACGCCAACTTACGCAGACGAAGGGGCCGACGAGGAGGTAGCCGTGGGCAAGGCCGACCTCAACACCGCGGAGGAGGGGGTTCACACCAGTGCGGTAGCCGGGGAGGTTGGACAGGAACCAGGCGACCAGGGGAGCCGAGGTCACGGGGGTCTCGAGGCCACCGACGAAGGGGTCGCCATTGAGGGGCTCAATGACCTGGTAGTTGGTCTCAGCCTTGACGGCCAGGGACCTCACCACGGGGGCGGCGCGGCGGGCAACGGGTGCCAAACCAGCAACGTTGCCGAAGAAGGCCCTCTTGGTCTGCGCCTTGGTCAAGGCAGCAGGGGCAGCGAGGATAGCACGGCTGGCAACGGCGGCGGCCATGGCTGCAGAAGGAGTGAAGTTGCTGGTACTGGATTCCTGTGGTCCTGTTAGAGAACTCCTTCCTTAGCACTTGGTGCTCTGTGTGTATATTGAGTGACCCTGTTTGGAGGGGGGAGGAACTGGTGCTTGGGGAGGGGAATCACTGGCGGAAGATTTCCTCACCTTGCATGGTCAGTGGGGTGGTCTGGTCATTGTGCTGATTCGACACTGCCTTATCCGGAGCACGGATCTCGCCGCCAATGCGAAATTCGCTGAACGAATCAGGCGCACCGTCCCCACCAATCCCTTCGTTTCTTGTTTTCGAGAAGTACTTGGAAGGGCTCCCATTCACGCAACTATATCGAAATTTATTTTCCGAGTTCTCATTCAAAACACCTACCTTTATATGCATCAGCTGCTTATAATGAAGGCTTCTAGAAAATCCTTACCACAGATACGTTATTATCGTTTACAGCCCCCAGATTTCTCTATGTTTCAGAAAACAAAGAAGAAAAAAATCAATTTTTGTCGTTCCTTTCAGTTATTTAAGGTGTATGTTTGTTGATCATGAAGGGCCAAAACTATGTCCTAAGATAGGAAAACAGGTAGATGAGATATGTGACGCAGAGCTCGTCTAATACAGAAAGCGGGACAATGTGTCACAAAGTTGGCGTTGGCTCTTGCTACCGCATTTGTATCTGGTGCGTTATGGTTCAAGACGGTAGAGTGCTATCATGGTTCAATGCTACTACACCTCGTCCGCGGTAAATTCTCCGGCAGTATCTTGACCACATGGTATACTTTTCCTCGGTCAAGCTAGTTTTGAAAGGTAGTTTCGGATTCAGAGGAGGTAAAATCATGACTACCCTCACTTGCCAGGAAAGCCGAAGCTTGGTTTAAAACCAATCCCGCCCTTATCACTGGTCACTAAGTACGAGAGCGCTAGACAGAAATGAATCCTGGCTGTTTACTTGTAGCCCTGCAGTCTCTGAGTGACCGTCGAATTAGACAGAAACGCACAAAGGGGGGCTGGAAAAAAAACGTTCGCGCGGTTAATTTACCGCGGACCAGGTGTACCCCTGAGATGATCCACCTCCGAACTAAGGCTTGCTTTTTGGTCACTAATTTCCAGCCTCATCGCAGCCGCCGCGCCGATCCATTTCCCAAACACGTCTGTCGGACGGCGATTGACAATATTTTCGCGAGGCTTTCTCGGTGGGTGACTAGCACGCCCTGCTACACGCGCCACATCTCAGCGAAGTTCAACGAATTTGCGAGGCCTTTTCGAGGAAGTCCACATGCCTCGCAGTGTCACCGTGGCTGCCGTTCAGTTCGCCTGCACAGACGATGAGACTCAGAATCTGCAGACCGCGGAGAGGTCAGGATCCCTAGCCCGCTCCTCCTCCCGTCCTATCCTCCTCTCCTCCTCTCCTCCTCTCCTCTCCTCTCCTTTCATCCTCTTTGCCTCCGCCTCCCCCTCCCCTTCCTCTTGCCACAACTCCTGCACTCTCCTTTCCCCCTGTTTTCTTCCCTCTCTACGTTACTTGCTGCTTCGCCTCGCGTGCTTGTCCTCACGCCGTGTCCTCCATTTCCCGCCTCCGCCGCCTCCCTCCGCGGGTTCTCTTCTCCCAGGCTGATCCGTGAAGCCCATGCGCGTGGCGCCAACATCATCCTACTGCAGGTATCCTGGGGACGCGGGAGTTGTATTGACAGGCGAGTATGTGAGTCATGCATGTATGTGTGCACAAGCAGCAGTACACGCACTCTTGAGTCGACTCAAAAATCGTATGATACGTGAAGCCCATGCACGTGGTGCTAACATCATCCTGCTGAAGGTATGCTGGGGCTGCGTGAGTATATGATCATGTTAGTATGTGTGAGCAGGCAAGTGTGTGTGGACAGGCAAGGCAAGCGTGTGTTGTGTAGGCATGCAAGCAGCAGAAGCAGTTGGCCTTCCCACTATCCTCTTCACCGAAAGCACTTCCTTCTTTTTCCAGATCCTTTCCTCCCACCGCTACTCCCTTCGTTCTTTTTCATCCCCCCACCCCTCCCCCCCTCTCCTCCCCTGCCCCCCCGGCCCCCCGCTTCTCCCCCCCCTCTCCAGGAGCTCTTTTCCGGGTTCTACTTCTGCCAGGCGCAGTGTGCTACCAACTTCCAGCGAGCCCGGCCCCGCCACAACCACCCTGCCATTACTAGGTAATTGCCTGGCATAGCGAACGGACGGACCTATTGCGGTGCTCAGGTGTGTAGCTGAGGGAACTGTGCCGACGTTTCGCTGTTGTTTTGAGGTCGAGATGAATGCAGCGTGAGGTATGGTAGCTGGTGTAGCAGCACACTTTCTTTGGTGACTAAGGCAGGCGAGGCTGGCAGGCACTAAGGCAGGCGAGGCTGCAGAGAATGCCTGAACATGGGCAGGCACTTTAAAGTCCCTCCATTCTCCTATGTTCCGTATTGCCCAAGCCACTACCCGTGCAGCTGGCATTCTCAACCGCTTTCTCAACCCATACTCCCGTTCACCACTTCTCCTTGGGTGGTCCCCTCCCGCTTGCTGGGTCCCGCTCAAGTCTAGGATGCAGCAGCTTGCAGCAGAGCTGCAGGTGGTGCTGCCTGTGAGCTTCTTTGAGCGCAGTGGAGGGGAGCCGGAGAACAGTGCTGGTGGTGGCGGCGGTGTTTCCGGTGGTGGTGGTGGTGGCGGTGTGGCGCATTTCAATTCGCTGGTGGTGATTGATGCTGATGGCAAGGACCTTGGACTGTACCGCAAGTCACACATACCAGATGGACCCGGTGCGTGCTCTCCCCACGCATGCACGCACGCACCCACGCAAGCACATGGTTCATTGCACCCTGAGCAATTTGCCTCTAGAGCTGCTGCCGTTGCCCCTCCAGTCACCTCGCCTGTGCACATGTTCCGCTCCATCCATCCATCCGTCCGTCCTTTGTGTGTGCAGGGTACCAAGAGAAGTTCTACTTCTCACCAGGGGACTCGGGTTTCAAGGTGAGACGTGGATTACAATAGTCAGCAGCACCACACTGGTCAGCACCACCGGGTCTAGGCAGCAGGCCATCAGGCTGCACAAAACAGCCGTTTACTCATAGCGACACCGTAGCATCAGTCACTGTGTAAGACTCCAAGTGCAAATCGCAGCCCCAGCAGTTCTCACTGTCTTCCCCTGCGCTTGGTTTCTTGATCTTATCTCAATCCTGCACTCTTTTTTTCCCCTCTGACTTCCATCTGCCTGTTGCCCAACGCAGGTGTTCAAGACACGCTACGCTGCCATTGGCTGTGGTATGTATGTGTGTATGCATGTGTATATGTAACTATGTATCTTTGTTCCTCTCCAACTGCTCTTGTCCTATTCATGAGGCGCCTCACAATATGTATGTATACCCCCATCTGCACCGGAACAACAAGAATTCGAGAGCAGCTTATTCCTAGTACCACTGCTCTCGTCTTTCCCGTTGCTCAAAGCTGCTACGTACACTGCTTCTCATTACAGTCTTGCCGATCCCCCCCACTCATTGCAACCCCCTCTTTCCCATTCCGAACCTCTCTCTCCCATTCCAACCCCTCTCTCCCATTCCGAACCCCTCTCTCCCATTCCGAACCCCTCTTTCCCATTCTGAACCCCTCTTTCCCATTCCGAACCCCTCTCTCCCATTCCGAACCCCTCTTTCCCATTCCGAACCCCTCTCTCCCATTCCGAACCCCTCTTTCCCATTCCGAACCCCTCTCTCCCATTCCGAACCCCTCTTTCCCATTCCGAACCCCTCTCCCCCATTCCAACCCATCTCTCACATTCCAATCCGTCTTTCAAATCCCGTCCATCCTCTCCCATTCCAACCAGCCCTCCCTACCGATCTTCCCAACACCCTTCTCCATTCTCAATCCCCACCCTGCACCCACACCAAGGCATCTGCTGGGACCAGTGGTTCCCTGAGGCAGCGCGGGTGATGGCTCTCAAATGACAACGGCTGCTGAGGCGCCTCAAAATAGTCCCCCCCACCCAATCCCCTCCCTGTTCCCACACCAAGGCATCTGCTGGGACCAGTGGTTCCCGGAGGCAGCGCGGGTGATGGCGCTCAAGGGAGCAGAGCTGCTGCTGTACCCCACAGCCATAGGCTCGGAGCCTCAAGATGCCTCCATTGACTCGCAGCCACATTGGAGCACTGTCATGCGCGGCCACGCTGCTGCCAACCTGGTCAGTCAGTGCTTCTCTCCTTGGAATCAGATGCAGAGATTGAGCTGATTTGTGACGCTGCGAGATCATTCCCATGCCTGCCTGCGTGCGATGTGCAGAACCAGAGTTCTTAGTCCCGCTGCTGCCCTCTTCTCCCTCTCTCTCTGTCTCTCTCCCTTCCTCTCTCTCACGGACGTGCACGATGACATCTGTCCAGCCGCCGATGAGATGCGCCGGGAATACCATACGACCCTTCCTTCCTTCTGTTCTCGTCCCCACCCCACTCCCCACTCCTCATCTGTGTGGATCCTCTGTGCTGGTCGGTCACAGATGCCTGTCATTGCATCCAACCGCATTGGCACGGAGACCATTTCAACCGAGCGCGGCCCCAGCACGATTACTTTCTACGGCTCCTCCTTCGTCGCTGGTCGGTGTTCCTGATGCCTGCCTCCCTCGTTCCTCTCATGCTCGTTCTCTGCCGTTGGATCAATGCATCTACGGTATGCATTCATGACTCTGGACCAGCCTTTTCTGTTTCAGCCGGCATGTATTGCATTCAAATGAGTACTGGTGTAACCATCATTTGATTTGTGAACCTCTGTTCCAGGGCCGACTGGGGAGATGTTGCAGCAGGCAGGGCGGGTGGAGGAGGCTGTTTTGGTGCAATCATTTGATCTGGATGCATTGTGGCAACAGCGCATTGGATGGGGTATCTTCCGGGATCGACGCCCTGACCTCTATTCACCGTTGCTCTCACTGGACGGATTATCGTGATCTCCTTTTCTGTTTACTACTGGTAATTCTATTTGTCCCATTTGCAATAAACGCATCCATATTGGCCAATGGCTGCGTGACAGAAGATCTGCTCACTTTTAGTTGGAATGCATACTACGCACCTAGTAGAGTACATCGAAGAACGGATGGATGCTTGTTAGGAGTGGCACTTGCATCTGCTAGATACGGTACTATTTCATCGTATGTGGGATACACGTATGCTAAAATTATACTAGAAGTGCATTGTTTTTTGTCCCTTGCTGTCAGGATTTGTACGAGCGTGCTAAGGTAAAAGAAAGTAATACGAGTTATCATGGTGCGTTCGCTGGTATGGCGACAAACACTTCCTGCAAAATACACGAATATAGCTGCGTACGTTGGTAACGCGGATAGCTTCTTGCCGAATTGAGGGAGGCGGAGGGGCGCCTGTAACAGTTGTGCTCAGCTGTGCGATACGGTGGCAAGGCAGCCAGTGATGGCTACAGCACCGAGGAACTCGGGGCGCGGTGCGGTCACATTCAAAGCTCCATTCTGGAGGGATGGTATCTTATGTGCAAGAAAGTTGGAGAAACATGGGAGGTTTTCGCTCTCACCGCTTACTTGCGCCTTATGTTTTGCGCTTTGTCCTGAATGTGGCGCAATATCTCTTTCCGCCACGCAGTCGGTTGAGTTGATATTTCCCCGCAGAGAAAAAGTTTGCCATTCCCCCCACATCTGCCATCCCCCGCACCCCGCACCTGCCTTGCCCCACCAGCGCTGTTGGTGACTGCGCCGCCTCGAAACCTCCCCCCATCCATAGTAAAATCCCTCAACCCCGCCTCCCCTCAGCTGCAACCTCACCACACCGCACCCATTCCATTCCCCCCCCTCTCCGCTCCCATCACTATTCACACTTGACCTGACGGGAGGACATTTGGTTGAAAAATATTACGTTGCAATACGGTACGAGACAAAACGCATCGGTAACCTTCGGCAATCCTAACCAGGGCTGGTGCGGGGAAGCCCCTAGGCTTTCTCGAAGGGCATCAAGGATCAAGGGCGGCATCGAAGTGGCATCAAAGTGCTTGCCGAGCCGAACCAGATGCACCAGCTAGAGGCAAATTGCTCCCCACCAGTTCACCAAAGCTCCGGTTGAACACTTCACTCAGGTAAAAGTATTGCCCCACATCCCTCCCCCAAATCACCCCCTTTCCCTCTCCACCAATTTCGGACGACTTGACATTTTATGGTTGGTTCAATCAAACACCAACACATTTGGTCAGGAGAAACCACAAGCTGGTAGCTTCAACAGCTCGTGTGAAGGATTGGCCTAACCAACCATAGCCAGCATCACAAGATCTTGCTCT